ACAAAATTCTGATGTTTTTACATACATAAAAAAAATTTCAAGTTAACATTAAAACCATACTTAATGGTGTGAGGATATGATGGTTAGGTCATAAGTGAATGTTAGCTTATTTTTACACATTTTTACAGATATTTAAAAAAAAATATGTTTGATATCATTTGTTGGTTTAATGCTCTTAGTTCAAATTTTAGACTCTTTAAGACCTCTTACTCGCATACTATTCATATAATCATATTTAATCTATGTTATCAGTTATGTTACTATAATTATTTAAAATTAATAATTATTTGTATTTAAAGTAAATTATAAAATTAATATCATTTTTGTATTACAGTGATGAAGAAATTACACGTCAGAATTGGGAGCGATATTATTTCACACCAATTAAAAGAACTTTCGGATATGGCATGCTACTATGAGTTTGATCAATTTGTCAAATGATTAAGTTTCATTGTGTTCTTTTTGTTCTTAAAAAAAAAGCAGTTACATGATAAAAATATGTATTACATAGTCCAAATATGACATTAAAAATGTCAATATTTTTTATTAATGTAATTTCTTATGCTTTTTCATCATTCTCAACTACTTTCCTCCTTTACCAAGTTTGATGTATAATGTTTATCATTAAGGTATTTCTACATATAAATNATGCTTTTTCATCATTCTCAACTACTTTCCTCCTTTACCAAGTTTGATGTATAATGTTTATCATTAAGGTATTTCTACATATATATTTTTTTTTTGTTCATTTTTATTGCTTTTGTTATTTGGTAATAATCATGAAATGATAAAAACTGAACTATTTTTTTTTCATTAAATATTACATTTACTATTTAATTTTAACTGCATTAGATACTGAAGGATGAAGAGAACAATAACACCGTAGAACCTAGTCACTCAGGGGGGATAAAAACATGCATTATTCATCATATAATGAGTTGATTCCAATTTTTGGGGCTGGTAGGCATTGTCATACCTGCTTGCAAACAGCAATTTAACATTTCTAATAAAAAAAAAATTATAGGTACAAGAATATAAAAACAGTGAGGCTCCATAGAAGATTGTTTGCCAATTTTTAATTTTAACACTAGGTAAGAGGCATTAAATATAAACCCTGTTAGCAATGAGACATTAATGTTAAACCATCTCTGGGACATTTTGTGGTGAATAAACAATTATCACAATGTAGATGAATCTCTAACTATTGAGTACAGGAGTCAAAAAATCAACTGAAATACCTTATTACCTGAACATATTACACTTAAGTGTAAAATATTTTATTTTGAAATTTGGTACAAGGTAAATACAATGGATTATAGAATTTGAATGCATGAACAGTTTCTATGTCCACACTTATAATAAATAAAGCTAAAAACTACTATCAAATTAAATTTATTTCAATACATACAAATTGGTGTTCTTAGTAAAATATTGGTGAAAATTAAACTTTAATAACTAGATAATTTATTTAATGTGTTGCTTCTAAATTCGAAAATTAATTCTTTTTTGGTGGTCCGTGTTTAAGAACGGGTGGTGGTAACATTGGACAATTTTGTACTAAAGTCTTTTGGCTAGTACATTCAGAACCTGTTTAATGATGAATGAAATTAATAATTCGTATAAATTCTGTATAAACATATTATTTATTACTTACTTTCTACCCAAGCATTATAAGGACAATTCTGAAAAAAGAATGTTCTGATTATTAATTTTTATTTATTAAATATAGTATACTGAAATGAAATTAGTTTGGTCTGTCGACCTCAAACCAATTGGTTTTATAAATAAATTTAGGATAGAATATTAGGTATTTCAATATACATTTCTAAATTAAGATATTAAATTTGATTGATTCCTATTTGTTATCATAAAATGAAAAATGATCTATTATTAAATAATTTCTATTAATGTGAGGGTTATTTATCTCATATATTTGGTTGAGTTTGGATGAAAATCTTCCTGGTATTTAAAAAAAAAAATTATTTATTTTTAGGAGATTTAAATTAGGGTAACAATTTACCATTTACTATTTTAAATTTGTTATATAATGTACTCATCTTTTAATGTGCTCATAAAAAAAGAAGAAAGTGCTTTGAAAATGGTGTATTTAATCAAGTACTATAACTTACCAAATATAAGTCTCTAAGGAAACATTTCATTAATCTACCTGATGGTGTATCCATCATATGATTATTTTGTTCTTCTTTTAAATTTTTTACTAAAAATTAAATTTCGGATTTAATACCGAGAAATTAAAATTATAATATTTTATTTACTTTCAGAAAAGCATTTATTTAATGATTGCTGCCATTCAAAAGATCCCCATTTAGGATCACCTTTCAATACTTCACTTATTTTACTAGAAACTTTTTGCTCATCAAGTTTTCCATCCTGGTCCTATGAAAAAATAAAAATGTACTAAAAACAAACATGGTTTATATTAAACTTACAGCTAATCCACTATTTATGAATACACATTGGAATAAACATGGTGGTCCTGAAAGTATCCAAAAATATTTTAATATTGTAAAGATTACGAGTAAAAATTATTTGCTTAATTTAAAGTTAGTATGTACTTTCATTTATATTTTTTAAAATCCACGCCATATACAAATCAATATTTATAGAATTCACTCATAATGGATGCTATAAAGATCACTGCATTAATTTAATTAGTAGTTAATAATCAAGAATGTATGAAACTCAAAAAATCTAGTATAACAATAAATTTTAATTTGAATTATGCAATTCTATAAAACTTAATAGATCACTAGTTAGTTTTAATAACCTACCATGACCTTTTCCATTTTCTTTGTGATCTGGAGGAAGAGGGTGAGGCTTGTCCATAGTATTATTTCTTTTTTCAATACATGTATCCCACGCTTTGTCTGTGTTTGCTAGAATATTGGGTATTGAACAACATTCTGGCATTTGCTTAAATTAAACGAACTTAAATCATTTATATATAAAATATACAATTTTTTTGAAAAAATTATTTAAATAGAACATTATTTAATGTAAAAACAGAATGCATTGTACGTGTTACTTACCAATTTAAAGTATGCTAAATATATTGTAATAGTATATTTATATATTAATAAAATTTTAATATAAAGTGGAGTATTTTGGAGAGTAGAAGGTATTGTCTGTGCATCGCTCTTCTAGATATATATTTTGTGACTTTTCTTATGTAAAGATTTTAAAACAATAAGCTACCTGTATTCGTAATCCTTAATATATTATACATGTATAATTAACTCAAAAATATAAAACTTTTGTTTTATATCTAATAAACGAATAAAATTACGTAAAAGCTCAAATGTCATATACTACTAAAATAAAACTTTAAACATTTTATTAAATTCGAAATATGTTTTCATTTGAAAAAATACACTTGTCACCCCTAAAAGTTATACGGAATGAAGTTTTAGCTAAGTTTAACATAGCTAATAATTCAAGAATAATATGTAACTAAAGGTAACAAAAAAAAAATGTCTTATTATTTTTACTATTTAATTAATTTAGTGGGCCATGATAAGAAAATGACTCTGTTTATGTATATATTAGATATATAATATATAAAAGAACTAAGATTATTTTAGTTTGGTATGAAGTAAAAATGCATTTTGAACAAAAAATACAGAAGTAATAATAAATATTTTTGCTAGTCATATGAATATAGAAAATTTCTGCAGTATTTAACAAATTTAATAACTTCCATTTAAATAATTTAATTTTAGGTGATCAGCTTATTTGATTATTTAATACTCATTATATATAACTATATTGGCGTTGGCACAGTGGATTATTCAGTGGACGCCTCTGTGCTAATGTTCAGCTGCGCTGTTTGCTGTTAGTATTCAGTTGGGTGAACATACGGGAACTCTAACTGTGACACACACCTTGCTTCCTTGCTGGTTCTCTCCAGCAACCTATGAGGTTGTGTCAAGTCGACAGTTGGTTTAAAAAACCTGCCAAATCAATAAGATAGAGCCTACCCCAAATAGTTGAGATGAAGGCTAACGAGATGATAAATAGTTATATTAGTATAACAATGTATTATATTGTTACTTATACTACAAAACTACGCATTTCAAAATTCTTATAAAATGAAATGATTGTAGAAATATTTATTAATCTAAGATTTATTAATTATATACAGTTCATCCATTAGGTTTTGACAACTGTAATAACATTTGATCCAAGGAATATTTTTCATTTCTTTTTAGCTTCGATATGAAGCTGAGAAGATATTGATTTGATGATATAATTTTTTTATGTTTATCCGTGAAAAATGTCAGCTTTCATTGAATGATTTTAACAATTAATGTGTCAAAAGGACCCAATTTTATTCTAGTAGAAGATATCGTTATTGAAATTTGAAAAACACGGTCAGTTTTAGATATTTATAATCGTAATGAAATTTTAATACAATATAAAAGAAACGGTGAGCTTCTATTGGTATTATTTTTGTGAAAATTCAATAATAAACCTAAGTACAGGAAGGATTTGACACAAAGTAATTCTACTTTGAAAAATTGGTGGTAAAATAAAAAAAACTTTTTAATTATACAAATAATATAAAAGGTATTAATATTTGAGTCAAATTTTAAAACATAGAAACTGTAAAATTACAAATGTACAAATTATTGTGAAATTTAACATATTCACTTCTAAGCGTTTTTTATGATAGTGATATTAATCACTATGTTAATTTGTATCTAATACAAAAAAAATATACAATTTTTTTTTTAATTTTGTCGAAATTTCAAAATACGCATTTTTAGATTGTTTCTTACAAAAAATTTATAAAATCTACTAAATACAAAAATAAAATGTCTGTCAGAAATAGTTAAAAATTCAAGTACTTTTAGGCTAGCATGTAACGCTGTTATTAGGCTGCGCCTCATTCTATTCTTACTAAATATTTTTTTTCAACAATTTAAAAAATTTATCTCAAATTAAAATTTGCTATAAGTAAAATTGTAATTTTAAAAATTTGGAAGTCTATTCCTTCTTATTCGTCTTGAAAGTATAATTTTTTGAAATAATGTAATTTTGTCAATAAATAAATTAATTAGAACAAATTTTGTGGTCACCAACGCTTGCCG